ATGTGACGATTTTTTTTTTTAAACTTAGGGATGATGCGTTTAGAAAATGTAATATTTTTTAAAAGTTAAGTAGTGTGGTGGATTAGTTTGTAGTTTGTAGTTTAATAGCATTAGATATGGATAATTAGTTATAACATCATATTATATGGTGTTATCTCACATGTTTTTTTTTTTTTTGAAAGGGAACTTCCCTAATGAGGGTTTCCGGGTCAGTTTTCGCGCACCGATTAATCCTCCGCTACAAACATAAAGTTTTGTCTCATGCCCTGGAGTTACTGCAGGCGAATCTCCATGGCTACAAGGGCTCAGGATTTAAACATGGATCAATAGGTTATCCACCATATCTTCCATATGTCTTACCAAATCACCACAACCCAAGTGGTTACCTCACATATTATATCATCAATGATATTATAACACCAAATAAACAAATGTTCACCATGTTATCTACACTATATATTATAACATCTATTATTTTCCATGTCATAATTTTTTTGATTTTTTTTTAAAAAGAAAATTAAAACAAATATATTTTTATAAAACATAATATTTAAATAAAAACTAATATTTAAAAACTATAAAAAAATAGCATTTAAATTAGACATAACATCCAAATAATAATAATAATAATAATAATAATAAAACATTACAAGACAAAAAATACATAATTTAATGTGTTCGGGCTCCGTTGGTATATGGTGTGCAATATTTCATCATAGATCTTCTATGATCATGTTATGCATTATGATACATGCATACATAATATATCGTAAAGTTTTTAAGTTTAATGACCGTGTTCCATGTTCAATTATATGTCACTTCACCTTAAGAACTCCAAAAGCATGTTCCACATTGTTACGAAACGCCTTGAAAAATGTGGAATATGCAAGATATATTTCATCCGTAAAGTAATACCCAAACTTGTATTCGTTTCCATTCACTGTGAAAGGAGCATCTGGTGCATTTCTTGACAACAGATCATCGAATATTAGTGACTGATCAAGCACATTGACGTCGTTGTTGGAACCCGCAACTCCAAAAAATGAATGTCAAATCCATATATCTTGGGAAGCAGCAGTGTAATGTCCGTAGATATGGACTAGTCAATTTATAGATAATACAAAAGATTATTTAGAATAAATAATTTTAACCGAGTTGTAGAATATGTCTCAAGGGTTTCGTACATATAAAGAACGCCGAAATCTGAGTTATAACGCAGAAGTTATGGTCCGTCGAAGTTTTACGACAAAATCGGCACGACACCGGGAGACGTAAATAGTGAATTTTTGATAAAAGACTTCTTAGCCTTAGTGATCTAAATAAAAGTTGTAGTATACATTAAACCGAGAACATACAAAAAAAGAACGCCCAAATCTGACTTCGTATGAGGAAGTTATGAATTTTCTAAGATTTGGCATAGCAGTGCACGACCCGAAACTTGAATTTTAGTTTGAGCGGTTTTTGGCCTACGCGACCTAAATAAGAATTGAAGTTCTCATTAATAGGAACTCAACGGTAAAATGACAGATGAAAACAAAATCCGTATGTAGAAGTTATGAATTTTACGCGGACATTTAACAGTATAATCTCCTCGTACTGTTAAATTTAAGATCGGTCGAGAATTAGATGACGACGAGTCAAAATGAAAACTGTAGATCTTATTTTTACCTACGTGTAGATATAAATAACGTCAAAAACGGAGCTCGTATGTGAAAGTTACGGATTTTAGAAGTCGGAAGTGTGATGTGCGAAAATGGGTGATGTGGCACAATCTTGGTCATTGCTTTCTCCCCAAGTCTTGCCACTAGATGGTGACATGTGGCACCAAGTTTAGCCATTTTTACCCTATAAATAGAACCTCTCCCACCCTCATTTTCTTCACACATTTCTCATTCTTTCTTCTCTTTACTCTCTCTCTAGAACCTATCTCTAGCCCCGAAACCCCCCCGAAAAGTCTAGGGAACCTCCATAGCACGAGGCAAAAGCCCCGGAGTGCTCGATGACTCCGAGAAGAAGAGATTTTCGGCTCGGGAACGCTGCTCCAAGCAAAGCCTGAATTTCTATAAAACCCGCTGTAAGTGAGCTACGCCTACGCTATTTTTAATATATCGTGTATTTAATTAGAGTAACGTTATTAGAAACTTATAATAAGTACTTGGGCTATTATTATGAGTTATATAAGTATTGTTTAACGCTTATATAATAGTAATAATAGTTAGACTATTAATTAGTCTCGACGAATAATAGACTAAACTCTAGTGGTAATAATACTAGGTTTCGTCGAAGGAAATTGTTTTTAAGAAGCGAAACATTGTTTGAGTTCGGATTCACCACCTTTTCAAGTGAGTGCATGGTCCCTTTCATCTTACAAATAGATATGAAGTATTTTATATAAACTACGTGCTACATGTGCATATTATCTGAATACTTGCTGTCTATGATGGATGAATGATTTTATACATGTTTTAAATGATTTAAATATATATTTATTTTATATGTACAAATATGTTTGGATAAAACATGGGTAGATGAAATAGTTGGTGTGTGATGAAATAAAATGATGAGAGATAGATGATGATAGGAAGGTGATGATAATTAGGTAATGGATAGGTGATGATGAAACGGTGATGTAGGATGAAAGATACTATAACCTTGTCCGGAAATTTGGAGATGTATTCATCTACTAGAGTCTAGATGGCGACCACGGATTATTAAACCCAAAATCCTTAAAATGCAGCCTCACAAATCACTTGCATACTGGCCTTTCCATGCTACTGGACAGTTTTTCCATTTCCAATGTGTACTCACAAATCACCCGCGAACAGATAACCTTATACGCTGGACGTACCCAGCCAAACACGCGCATGCATTCCTTGCATGAATGGGACTACCTTGTCACTTGTCTCCATAAGAGACCAAAGTTGTCAATAACTTCAAAGTGCCATAACTTCCTCATCCGAGGTCCATTTCCAACGAACCTTATATCCATGAAAAGGTGGTGAGAAGCCCTAAGTTCCTAATAACTCTCCTAGTCCTTAAAATCTTCCCATATTAAACCCAAAATCCTTAAAATGCAGCCTCCACAATCGTGGCAGCTGCATGTGTTGGGACATGGCAGGTCTTTTAGTATCGGGACTTCGATAATATGAAGCTCCCGACTTTTGATGGAGTCCAAGACCTGATCATAGCTATGAGGTGGGTATCTGATGTGGAGGGATGCTTCTTCACTTGTTCATACCCTACTGACCAGAAGGTCAGGTGCGCTCTGAACCTTCTGAGGTCCGGAGCGAAGGATTGGTGGAGGCTCGCTTCTTTTGGATTTGGTGTCTAAGCCCATAACTCTAATTGGTATGTACTTGATTTGATAGTAGCATTATCCTTTTGGGTTGCCTTCATCCATGCAACTTGATAGGATGACTGATGGAGAGAGAGTAAGTTTTATTATTTGAAATAATAAATTGGAACAACATAATAGCACCATTTAAAACCAAAGTAAAAAATATGTACGAAAATTATAAAGAATAAAAATTGTAAAGCCATAGTTAAAACCAAGTTGTAAAAAACACTTTTGAAATACAAAAATGAAGTTGTAAAAATTTAAAAAAAAATAGGGCAAATTTGTGGGAACAGATCGGGACCATTATATCTACTATTAATTCTCAAAATGTTAGCTACAGTTACCTTTTCCCTCTTTCTTATTTTCGAACGAAAGTTTTTGTCTTTCTTATTTTGCCACTGAAACTTCTACTTTTCATTTTTTTCGCACAGACAGCCGTATAATTTGTCATCCTTATCTTCTCTTCCTTACACCCAGTTGCCGCCATTCTCCTCCAATACGGTTCGTTTCTATTTTATTTAATTTTTTCCCTTTCTTCTTTACTCTTCCTTCCTCTTCGCTTCTTTGTGTTTCTATTTCGCCTCTGCGTCTCTCTTCCTCTGCTCTTCGCCGTCTCTGTTTCTTCTTTAGGTATGTGTTATAATTTGTCTTATACAATCTCATGTCGGCACTTTTGTCTTGAAAATGTCATATTTTGATTGCTCTTTACAAACATAGAGGCAATGATGATATTTGTTTATTATTATTTGAAATAATAAATTGGAACAACATAATAGCACCATTTAAAACCAAAGTAAAAAATATGTACGAAAATTATAAAGAATAAAAATTGTAAAGCCATAGTTAAAACCAAGTTGTAAAAAACACTTTTGAAATACAAAAATGAAGTTGTAAAAATTTAAAAAAAAATAGGGCAAATTTGTGGGAACAGATCGGGACCATTATATCTACTATTAATTCTCAAAATGTTAGCTACAGTTACCTTTTCCCTCTTTCTTATTTTCGAACGAAAGTTTTTGTCTTTCTTATTTTGCCACTGAAACTTCTACTTTTCATTTTTTTCGCACAGACAGCCGTATAATTTGTCATCCTTATCTTCTCTTCCTTACACCCAGTTGCCGCCATTCTCCTCCAATACGGTTCGTTTCTATTTTATTTAATTTTTTCCCTTTCTTCTTTACTCTTCCTTCCTCTTCGCTTCTTTGTGTTTCTATTTCGCCTCTGCGTCTCTCTTCCTCTGCTCTTCGCCGTCTCTGTTTCTTCTTTAGGTATGTGTTATAATTTGTCTTATACAATCTCATGTCGGCACTTTTGTCTTGAAAATGTCATATTTTGATTGCTCTTTACAAACATAGAGGCAATGATGATATTTGTTTATGAAAACAATTTGCACCGTCGACCATGGGTGAACTTGAAGGTTATATTTTGTCAAGGCAACTCGGAAGGCATATCTGATTAGACTATGCAACCGGTGTTTGCAGCCATACTGTCTTTCATCCCCTTTTTCTGAGCCTCGTCTCATTGAAAATCACTTCCGTGTTTTTATTTAGGCTTTCACCTTAAATCTGAATTCACTTTTTATGATTTTTTATTTTCAAATTTCTGGTGTTTCTTTTTTCGTCTTTTTCTGTATGTTGGAGAGGGTCAGAGAAGAAATCATTTTATGATCGACAACATATCGTCATTGACCTCATCACAGCTGAATAGCCATTTGTCAACAACATCGATGATGGTGTTGTCAACTGCGGAGGGCGTTGATCAAATGGAGCTTCTTCTCAACAGCAAGTGAGGCGTATACCACCACCATGGTTTTCGAGCAACCCAAGGAGTTGTTGTCGTTCCTGAATACCTGCCTTTTTTGTTCGATGATTTATGTAGGTTTGTTGTTGTTTGTTGTTTGCAGATTAAAAGTATTGATTTCGATTTTTAATCGGGCTTTAATTTTCAATTTAAGGACTCAATTTCTGACTTGCATCAGTTCGTAGAAGCTCGTGTACTACAAACCTTGAATTTTGGTGTTGACATTTTGTCTAGCTTGTCTCTTACTATGACAACGAATGGGGTTACATGTATGTATATTGATTGTTCTATTATGAAAAGAAACCATTTTTTCTTATTGTCACAGGTAGTAGATTTTTATCTTAATTTGTATATTGATTGTTGATTTTTGTTGTAGCAACTGTCAGGTGGGTGCTTCTACAGAGAGGAAGGGAGTCTTAGTTGCGAGACTTGACCTAAGAAACGAGTTATAGTTAATGAACATGACACATGGTATTGGTAGCTATGTCACATGTATTCATAGTTACACATACCTCCCTCCTATCTAGAGTTTTTTTAAGACTTATTTATCACAAATTGTTCAGTGAATTACTCTTTTGGATCCATTAAAATATTCACCTGAAACACAACTATAGTTTTTTTGATTGCGAGATGAGAATAGAGATTGCTTTGTTGAAACTGTACAGGTATGTCTAATATAATAATCCGGTTTTCTCTCTTCTGACAATGGAAGTCCATTATAACATTTTCCCTCCTATTACCTTTTTCAGTTTGTTAGTGCTTGCTTTGACTTGAATATCTACCCTATAAGTTTCATTTTCGAAGAGCAGTGATGTAGTGGTTACGTGAGGCATTAAAGAATAAAGATGTTAGAAAAAGTTATGTTAGTTCCTGTTTTGGTTTATGCTGAAATTGATCGAGTAAGATGTAGATGTTAATTGTTTATTTGATGGTTTGAATGGTATATATTGTTGGCGGGATTTTACAATGGAACATAATGTAACGTCGGATAATTTTCTTAGGGTCACTATCCTATTCTTCAATCATTTGAGAACCATAGTCATTCTTTAATAAATGATCATTATAACAACTATATCGGATTCCCATGTCATCAATATACATGTCATCAAGATACATCTGCAATATATATATATATATATATATATATAGGAAAAGTGAATATACATTACAGCCTCACCTAAGCTTAGGTACTAAACCTTACAAAAATATGTTGTTTTACTATATAAAGATTGCGATTAGGGGATTCACAATTAACAATTGAAGATGTAGATTCAAGATCGATGCAATAGTTATGATAAGAAAGCAAAAGTATTGATTATCTTAGATTTTTCTAACAGCGAATAAAAGTAATATTCACTGGGGTGAAGTAATAAACGATAATTGAGGAAAGAAAATACGGATGGTAAAACGATGCTGAAGGAAAGAAATGTTAACGACGATATATATATATATATATATATATATATATATATATATATATATATAGAGAGAGAGAGAGAGAGAGAGAGAGAGAAAGTAACATTGACCCTATTTAACATTGATCATGTTGAGTATAGGGGCTAATTTGGGTGATAGAAGCTCTAAGAATCAACAAGGTTTATCAGATTCTCATAAACTTGATGGGAAAAGTCAACAAGAACCAACTGCCATATAAGGTATATTTTGTCAATATAGTTATTTTTATAAGCAATTTATGATAAAATTATTTGTATTTATGACTTTATGTTGGATGTTAGGGGTGTTGTTGCTCGTGCATTACATCTATCAAGAGGAGTTGAGAAACCAAGTGGTAGGGTTACTTACATAGTTGTTCTTGAAAGATTGAGCAGATTTAGTGTTGAGGAGCTTAACACAAGAGGAACTTACACTACTGGAAGAATTTCTCCTATTGATATGACAGGGGCTGGTATACCATCAAAACCACATTATTCCTTTTCAATTTATATGTAGATTCACATTCACCATGTTTACTTTATGGATTTCATGGTATTTGAATAAAGTGAAAAGTTTTGAGAAATTGATGCCACACTTGAGAAAATGGAAGAATCTCCTAAGTCAAACAGTTCATTCAATCCAAAAACAAAACAACTTTGTCAATACAAAAGGGTAGAGTGGTCATTTTTTCATATTCAAACAGTTCATTCGGTCAAAAAAAAAGAAAGAAGCAATCTTTGTTTATACAACAACATCGTTTATCCATTCATGGATGAAGATTGAAGAAGCATTATGCCAATGAGTTGAAGTTTTCATCATTAGTAATTGAGTTATTCAACTATTGAATAAACATGAAATGGAGTATAGATATGTTAAATTTCAAAGTTTATATCATTTAGGGTCTTTCAAGATGCTGAGTTGCTACATTTTCTAATCTTAATTAGAAATGAAGCAAGTAGAACAAGACACAAACTTCATAGTATTGTCTACACAGTTTATACAAATTGCCATGGAGCTTATTCTTGTTCTTGAACAGGTATAAATAGTGACTATTCTCATTCTTATTATATTAAAAGTAATATTGTAACAAAAAAAATTTTTCAAAATTTCATTTTTAGAAACAAAAAACTGGTGGGAGAACTAAAGTTCTTCTTGAAAATTGTCCCCGTGCACAAACTCGCAGATATATTTGTTGCAAGCTTTGAGATTAGCTTTGAAGAACAGTTGGCTATGTTAGATTCAGTTGATGTAAAAGTAAGGCTTTCAAAAGCCACAAAATTAGTTGATAGACATTTACAGGTAAAAAAAAGCTTATAATTTTATATTTAGAAACTTTGTGATTTATAATAGAAATTGATGAAATTATTACATGTATCAGTCTATTAGTGTGACAGAAAAGATTACACAAAAGGTTGAAGGACACCTGTCAAAAACATAGAAGGAATATCTTTTACACCAGCAGGTATGTTTTTGGATTTTATTTTTATGTTTTTTTTAATATAAACTTTTTTTTGATTGTAAACCAGATGAGGGCTATTAAAGAAGAGCTTGGAGATAATGATGATGAAGATGATGACGTAGCTACCCTTGAAAGAAAGATGCAAGATGGTGGAATGCGTCTAAATATTTTGAAACATGCACAAAGGGGATTAAGGTATAGCTGATTTTTGCAATTTTGGTCCCAAAAATCTAGTCATGTTACTTGGAATAGGAAGCAAAAACATGACAAAAACCTCAAATTAGGACAAAAATGGAAAAAATCATATTTACTCAATGACATTTTCCGATTATGATTGTGTCTTACCTAATTATGGGATATTAAGTATTGTTGTTGTTTCTTTAAAATATTGACAAATAAAGATGATTTTTTTATTTTAATATTTATATAAAATGTTATATCAGGAGATTGAAAATAAATGCAACCTCAACAACCAGGTTATAACAGCTCACGTGTTTAGCTTGAACTTCTTGCTGAATTTGCGATGGCATATAGCCATTGAAGAAGTTGAGTTGGACCTAAAAGCTGCAAAAGAAAGGCTTGATGGTGACCACTATGGCTTAGTCAAAGTCAAACAAATGATTATTGAATATCCGGTAGTTCGCGAGGTTAGAAAAACATTTAATTTGGAATGACGGAATCATGGTAGGAATGGAGTTGTTCATTCCATTCCATTGCCATGTTGTGATGAATTTCTTGAATTGCAGCTGAAACCGAATGCAAAAAGCCAGATATTATGCTTTGGAGGCCCCCCAGGTGTTGGGAAAACATCATTGGCATCATCAATTGCTACTGCTATTGGGAGGAGGTTCATAAGAATATCTCTTGGTGGTGTAAAAGATGAAGCAAACATTAGAGGCCATAGAAGGACATACATTGGAAGCATACCCGGTCGCCTTATTGATGGATTAAAGGTGAATTTTTTCATTTTTTTTTACAAAAATAGATTTGAAATTTTTACTTTTATAACATTTCAGGTCAAATTAATGTAATATGTTTTGATTAGTATTATATTATGTTCTACCATTTGGTACAACTTGGAATAAGGAAAAAAAAAACACAACACCAAAGGCACAACTAATTCCACTTTAGTTTCATAATTAAAATTAAAACTAGAAGCAAACTTAAAAAAAAGGTTAGATAATCTAATAACTTACTATATCAAGTCAACAAGTTACATTGGTGTAGTTGATATAGTTTTAAAAGTTAAGTGACTATACTAGCTAAAGAAAACGTTAGCGCTTTTTTCAAACTCAAATCACCCCATGAGCTTTATATGGATGTCACTTTATCGAACAAACTTGTATGCTACAAATAATAATCAAAATATATATAAATTCATTTAAGTTTAAATTAAGCACCAGTTCAATTCCATTTAGTGATTCTTGAAAAAAAAAAACTGAAAATGAAATGAAAATCATAGGGGGTAAAATTATCATTTTTATTATCACTATTGCAATTTGGTCGAAACAAGTATGTGGCTTTATAGCTCAAATAAGTTTTTTCGATGTTTTGTTGGCTAAAATGACAAACTTTTTAAATTCGATAGCCTACTAGACCTAAATAGAGAGACATGTCCAAACCCCAAGTGTATATAGAATTGGGATACACGTGTTACATGTCCATGCCTTAGGCTTAGGCCTGATCCGATCCAAACCCTTAAAAAATTATATGAGTTTGGAGCATAATTTTTGATTTGTTTACCCGTTAACGACCGTACCCTTTAACCTTTTTATTAAAAGGGTCGGGTATGAATCATCATTGATTCGATCCGTTTATAACCCGCCCTGTATAAATTTTAGAAATATATGTCAATATTTTATCATATCTAAAGTTTAATTTTAATTTTAATCGACAGTCCAAAGGGGAAAAGCCAAAGGCCAATCTATTTTTGGAGTCAACTTCTAGATGGTCTATTTACAAGAATCAAGGTATATTTTCATTAATATTTCATCAAGCAATCACTAATTTCAATTATAAATCAACAAATTCATTATCAACCAGAAGAAAGTTTGCAATTGCTATTCTCTATCACCGTATTAGATATTTAAAAATCAATCGAAAGTCACTATAATAGTGAACTTAATTCCAATCGAAAGTTCTTGAGTATGTAATGTGTTTTCAAAATAAACATTTTTGTTTGATTATTCAAAAAACCTATGGGCTATGGAGCGGTTTTGAATATCTGTTGATTCGGTGGATAAGCATGTGTTTGATTATTCAAAACCCTCCGGATTACGGAGCGAGTTTGGATTCGATTTTGAAATTTATTAAACAGGTTTGAATCAAGATTGATTCGCTCCAAACCCACCCCATTGTGAGGCCTACTTAGGGGCTAAGTTTTTAACTTTTCAACTTTTTACCCCAAATCATTGCCATTTTTTTCCATATCAAAATTTCATAAAAATTTCCAAGAAAATACCATCATTTCAAGAGCAACCGAGCCTTTATTTTTGGGGACCTCGTGCAGGGGGGTGTGGACATTATGTCGTCATGCTATGCCTTCATCCATGTCAACATTCATGCCCATGAAATGTTGGGCAGAGCCATGTGACCTTAAAATCATTTGTTTGGTATAAAGATGAAATATTTTTGTATATTACAATATTACAAAAACTAGCACTACTTTAATATAAAGTTCACTTTTGATTGACATTTTTGTATATTACAATGTTTAACACTCTTATTCACGATGAGAATAAGACTACTATTTTTTTTTAACTGACAAACAATTGTTGTTTTGTATCAACGTTAGGGGAGCTTTTACATTTATTTTAACTCCCTTACCTCGAACTAGGGAGCTTTTACATTTAGTTATCATGGCCAATTGGCCATAGACAATATTACGAGGATAAAAAAAGACAACCATACAGTCATACTTGATGTTTATGAATGACTTTTGGGTGACATAAAACTTGATTTGTTTGAAAATGGTCAAAGACTACAAACACAGATAACCATTTGTTCCATAACATTCATTAAAAACAATTAAACCAAACTTAGAAATGTAAAATAAGGGAAATATTGGAGATTGTGGAACTAGATGATACTATACCAAAAAAAAGCTTCATCATTTAAGTTTCTGCCACTTTAAACAAACCTCCACCGCCATAACTCTCTGATTTATCAAGTTTTCTCCTGCATCCAAAACATAAAATGTAAATAAATAAATAACACCATCTTGAGTTGGCATCCACATCAACCAAGTGGTAGAAAGTTATTTGTTTATCATGCAATCAGTTGCTAGCTAGATACCATAGATAAAATGTTTAAAGTAGAATGCTTCAATTAACAATACGAAAGCAAAATGCAAATACATGTTATAAAATACAAACAAATAGCAAAATGAGGACATAAGATAAATAAATGCATGTGAAGCAACAAATTATATGACTGACGCATACCTTATAGTTAAGATGAGAAGGTGGAAGTAAGGTAGTCGTGATCCTCCAAAAAGATCTGCAGATTCTTGATCTTCATGAGGAACTCAACTGCTTCCTCATCAAACTCCAACAGAAACCCCAGCCTTATGAGCTTACACAGATCTGGAACAAGCTCTTCATTATCCCACAGAACTCCCTCTGCTATTTCTTCAGCAAAATGAGAAGCGTATTCAATAACATTCTTATGACCAGAAGCTCTCTCCATCTTCTGCATATATAATTTGGAGTGTTATTTGTCCCAACGGATCATTCTCCTGGGCTCCACATCCACAACTTCTCCACATGAAAAAGTCAAGCTGTATCTGACCGACATTTTTTCCGGTGTCTCAAAAGCTTCGATCGCAAGCACACTGCTAACAGCTTCATGTCTCTTATCCAGCTCAATTTTCAGATTAGGATCAACAAGATATGCAAGAATGAGTTTAAACAAACCCCTTTTGTTGATCTTTTCTTTTGAATCAACCGGCTTGAATGCATCATGATCAACATCAGATGTGTTTTTCTTTACAGATTCAGACAATGTACGAACACCAAGTCTGGTGTAGATCTCCACAAGCTTGGTTCGGGTTAGGGTTTTCTGACTTGGCTGAGGAAACCATACGAATATGGGACGAGAGAAGGTTTTTATAAAGAGATTAGTCAAGAAAAGATCATCACCAATGAACACGTCACACTTGTCAAACAGAAAAATGACATTGGAAGCAGGATCCAAAACAAGGAGTTTGGATAAGTTGTTTTTGAAAGTATCTTCCATTCCTGGGGTCCAATTTCGCACCACAAACTCCCAAAAGGCGCAACACTCTTTGTGTGTGATTTGACACCCTTCTGAACTTTCCCATGACTTCCAGAGCTTACAGTAGTCTTCAACCGAGGGATGAACTTTGACATCAAAAGTCTCGGCAAAGAAGTCAAGAATTGTGTTCTCATATTTGCAATTTTCCAAAACCTTCAGTTGTTCACCAAAAAGATTGTTTTTGTCGTGAAGAACACAAGCTTGAGGCGTCACCCACTCTCCATTTTCAGTTCCTTTTCGGATCCATATCCTTTTACATCTTCGTCGACAGGGACCCACTTGTATGTAGACAAGAAATTATAGATTCGGGAAATTGTTTCAATGTTGGAGTGACATTTGAGGTAGCTAGCAAGCAACTGGCATTCCTTGTTATTATCATTGGCAACTCCTAAAGCATTGAGCTCATCTTTGTAAGATACAATGCGAGATCCATAGAATCCTTCATCGATAAAAATAGAACATCTCCCACCCTCATTTTTTGCACACATTTCTCATTCTTTATTCTCTTTACTCTCTCTAGAACCTCTCTATAGCCTTGAAACCCCCCGAAAAGCCTAAGGAACCTCCCTAGCACGAGGCAAAAGCCCCAGAGTGCTCGACGACTCCGAGAAGAAGAGTTTTTCGGCTCGGGAACGCTGCTCCAAGCAAAGCTCAGTTTTCTATAAAACCCGTTGTAAGTGAGCTACGCCTACGCTATTTTTAATATATCGTTTATTTAATTATAGTAACGTTATTAGGAACTTATAATAAGTATTTGGGCTATTATTATGAGTTATATAAGTATTGTTTAACGCTTATATAATAGTAATAGTAGTTAGACTATTAATTAGTCTCGGCGAATAATAAACTAAACTCTAGTGGTAATAATATTAAGTTTCGTCGAAGGAAATTATTTTTAAGAAGCGAAACACTGTCTGAGTTCGGATTCACCACTTTTTCAAGTGAGTGCATGGTCCCTTTCATCTTACACATAGATATGAAGTATTTTATATAAATTGCATGCTACGTGTGCATATTATCTGAATACTTGTTGTCTATGATGGATGAATGATTTTATACATGTTTTAAATGATTTAAATATATATTTATTTTATATGTACAAATATATTTGGATAAAACATGGGTAGATGAAATAGTTGGTGTGTGATGAAATAAAATGATGAGAGATAGGTGATGATAATTAGGTGATGGATAGGTGATGATGAATCGGTGATGTAGGATTAAAGATACTATAACCTTGTCCGACAATTTGGAGATGTAGTCATCTACTAGAGTATAGATGGCGACCACTGACTATTCTAGACAACTCGTGGAAACACCAGCAGACTTATAACCTGTAGGTGATGGTTTACGAGTCCAGGTGATGTTGTGACTGTATATTCATGTGATGATACTCTAACCCTTACTATGAATTACGAGTTCAGGCGACGTTGTCAGTGGCGAATCTAGAACCGAAAACCACATGGCTCCTTATGTAAATAAAACTAAAATAGTTAGGTATTTTAGCAAAAATAGGAGGGTCTTTTAGAAAAAATGAGATAGGTCATTCATATTTTCTATATATATTTGTTGTATTTAAAGAAAAAGGTAGGTCCTAGGACCTACCTTGTTGAAGCTTAGCTACGCCCCTGGACGTTGTAACTACGTATTCATGTCTTAGGAACTAGCATATAAGGAAATGTGAGGTAAAAAGATGAGAGGTAAATATGATATAAGAGATGACCCTTAAGATAATTCTTTAAGGAATATTAAAGAAGATAATGGGGATGGGTAATCGGGTTGATTGTTTGATGTTTAAATATAATAATTATATTATTCTGCGTTGAAAACCCTGTGTACTCATCAGGTTTCCCAACCTGACCCACTCCAGCTTATTTGTATCACAGGTGTCGATACAAAGCTACTTTGCACTGAGAGATTTAAAAGAGATGTAGATCACTAGTGTAAATGAATGTAATTTCTTTTTATGCTTATGTTTCTGTATTGACGATGATATCCCAAATGTTTTAAATGAATAAAAATACATTTCTTCGGAAATGCTTTGATAACGTATTTATCATGTTTTTCTGGGAACAAATTTCGCAAACTTTTTATTAAAAGTACTCTAATTTTTATAAAGCATAAACAAAATTAGTCTTTTCTGGCCGTGAAAATGGGGATGTCACAAACAACCTCTAATACCAACGAAGGCGATCCAGGATGACCACTTGCATACTGGCCTTTCCATGCTACTGGATAGTTTTTCCATTTCCAATGTGTGCAATCAATCCTTCGAATCATTCATGGAAACCCATGCCGCTCTTCATGTGTCGCATACAGTTCTTGCAAATCATGCAACAAAGGTTCTCGTATATATACGTGTAAATGTTTCAACACCCATTGACAATATATACAAACTCTCCCTTGCAGTTCTTCCAGACATTCTCATATAATTGTTCATGGTATCGGGTGACTCCCCCATAGTCATCAAACGAATCACCGCATAACATTTATGCAATGTTGTAAACCCTCCCTTGCCTCTAGCATCATATCTCAATTGGAAAAATGTATACCTAACATATATATTATGTAAAAATTTGTATTTATTTTGTGATAAATAAGTATTAAAGCTAAACAAAATATATCTGCTTTCCAAGGCGTTGGTGATACGTACGAACACATTCCTACTCAAACGAAATCTTATTTCAAACTCATTTGACCTGTACACACAATTTTATGCAAAGTAATCTCGATATAGACGTTCAGCTCCAGCCTCACGATCTCTATTTATCATCACACGTCTTGTGAGTATAGGGGCTAAGTCTGATTGTAACATCTCATTAGTGTAATACTAATACATCATAGTGAAGAATATATTATCACCGTCATCATCAAACGAGTCTAAATGATCCATAATTTTTTTTGAAGATAATTGAAATTGTATAAAGAAAGAGATGAATTGTGTGAAAAAAATTGTGATATATAGTTGATATTTGTAGGTGAAAAAAAGGGTAAATAGTACAAAAGACATTAAGTTTACATCAAAATTCTAATTTGACATTGTGTTTTCTTTTGTTTCAAATCTGACATCGTGTTTTGCAATTTCTTACAATTTTGACCACTTGACCGGTCAACCCGATTACCTGCTGACGTGACATGATGACATGATAGTTTTGATGATGTGACATGCTGACATGTCAAAACTATTTTTTTTCTACAAAAGACACTATTTTTTTTGACACAAAGTTTATTTATTTTTTTTAATTTTGACAATCTGCTCTTTTGTTCCAAATCAAATATCTTTTTTTTTTCTAATTTTGTTCAATGTTTACCATTTTCCATTTGAAACCATATAAATATTTTCTTTAATACATTTTATACCGTATAAATATATTTCTTTTCCATTTAAAAACCATATTTTTGTATAAATACAATGTTTTTTTTTACATTCAAACCATAATTTTATGTATAAATGTATATTTGTTATATAAAAACCATATTTTATATTATATACACAACTTTAAAATGAGTTTTGAGGTTTAGAGACGTGTAGTCGATCAAGGCCCAGATGTTAAGTTTGCAACCCGTGAAATTTTACATCTCATATCTTATTTATATAAATATTAATCATGAGGTACCTTTGTGAATAGTTCTGTAACATCCCAAAATTTTGAGCCAAAATTTTCATTTTTAGTTAGGTAAGTTATAAAAACAACAGTCTGGAAACATCATCAGTATCATTCAAATCATACTCAAACCCAAGTGTCAAAAATCAAAACCATAACATGTCATAGAAAAACAATATCATAGTACAACCCCCAAGGATCTCGTAATGAGGAAAATCATAGTGTGATGCGTTGCAATCAAGCCGACTCCTTTCCTTTTAAAGAAAAATGTACCTGAAACCAAAACTAAAAATCGTAAGCACGAAGCTTAGTGAGTTCCCCAAATACCACATACCATATATATCAACATACTGCCTAACATATCTAGGTGTTGGCATACCCCTTCGGTCTCTTTCAAGCAGATAATGTCTAGCATATAAGCACATAAATCACATACTCTCATACATAACCATGAGCCATACATATATCATAATCAATAAAGATGATATGTGTCAAACATAGTCTTGCCATTATGCCACGGGCCACCACGTGGTCTTTCTTGCCAAGTCGGGTGCCACCCCCTTGGTCTTACAGACAAGTGCTAGGAACCACCTCCTAGTCTTCCATGCAAGCATCGCAAAGACAACTAGCATATATACTACTCTACTTAGCCAATTAGCATACATGGTGCCAAGAGCCACCTCTTATTCTTTCATACATAATGCCTAGGGCTAACCCCCATGTCTTCCTACCATATATAATAGCGTACAGTGTGCCAGGAGCCGCCTCCTAGCCTTTCATACATAATGGCTAGGGCTAACCCCCAGGCCTTCCTACAATACATAAACCAAATAGGTTGGCATTAGTGCCTTCGACCCATACAACACTGATGAGACTCACCTCGCACTGCTGAAGTCCCGCGAATAAATCTCTAGCTGCTGACTGACAGACCCTCGAACTATCAACATCAAAACAAACCCCAGTTAACCATTTGGGGGTCAATGCATAACCATAAGTCCATACTCAGGGTAAAAAGACCATTTTACCCTTAACCTAACTTGGTCCAAAGCCAAGGCCCAAACTCAAACTATGGAGGCCTAAAACCCCAATAATAAATCAGGGCCCATCTATGGCCCAATTTTCCAAATTAGGCCCAAACCCCTCACATGGGCCTTACCCTAAAGCCCATCCATATATTCTAGTCCATGTACTTGTTCTTGGATGGCCCATCAACAGCCAAATTACCAAAGCCCAACAGAAAGGCCCAACTCAAGGCCCAAACAAAATTAGGGTTTTCACATAAAATGGCAATTAGGGTTAATTAGAAATACTTAACCGATTAAGGACTTAATCCATTAAGTCCATCATTCTACTAGGTAACTCATACAGTGTGGTCGGGCGTAATTCATTATTCAATTCCAATGGCCCAAAACGCGAGTCCCGATATTCCAAACTAACATATTCATTATTAGGGTTTTCTAAACCCTAATTAGGCTTCCAACCCAATTACGTGCCAATAAAGTTCCAAATTAGGTTTTTAGGTTGATTAGGGTTTCATTAGGCCGGACACCACCCATTGCCACCTTGGCTTGTGGTGGTCGGCGGTGGCTCATGACGGAAGCCACCACCTCGTGGTGGTGGTGGTTATGATTCTAAACCCAAAACTTATCCAATTATCTAAAAAACAATTCAATCACCCATGAATGTACACCGCCGCCCAACATGGCGGCTGGTGGTAGTAGAGTGGCGGTGTGAGGTGGCAGCCACCACCTCACGATGGTAGTGACATGTTTTCCGGCCAAAAATCATACATACAACATCATACTCACAAAACCCATACAATAAACTCACACACACACAAAAACACACACACACACACCGCCACCCCTGACGGTGGCTGGTGG